ATGGGAACGAGTAGCGTTAAGAACGGCAACAACGGGTAATTTTCTCTGGGTCCCTTGTGGTGAGTTGAAAACAGGCGGCGATGTCGCATTCACGGTACCGTGTGTTTGTGTTGTTTCCTTGAGCTTTGTATTGAAATTCGGTATGAAGCTGTTTAACACATGTTGTTGAGTGATGTATTTGACTCGGTGGGTGATATTATCATTTTAAAAGCAAACAAACAAATGTACATGTGTCTTGTTTTCCCAACCGCGTTTTCTGTGTTAGTGTTCCAGGAGCGTGGTTCATTCTGAGAGCCCACAATGTATGGTCGCTGAAAACGTTTCATACAAATGAAGTAGCCCTAGCAGTCAAGATCCGTTTGTAGAACTATAGTGTTCGATCTGCCTCTCTCTGAAAGTACGATGGTCTTCAGTGACAACTCATTTTGCTTTTCGATCTGCCTCTCTCTGAAAGTACGATGATCTTCAGTGACGACTCATTTTGCTTTTGTATTTTTAACATTTCTTTTTTTATTACACATAAACATTGTAGATCCCCGTGGTATGGCTGACGTAAATGCATTAACAACATTACTACAATGGGCGACTTGTGCTTGAGGACTAGTTAATAAATCTACATCAGGAAGAAACACTACTGAGCAGGTGAAGTAGAGAGTTTAAGGTGGCGGTTACACTCCCTCCATCTTGCCAATAGTTTGAAAAAATACACCAAACGACGCCACTCATCTACGTTTGCAAAAAGTGAAAAAATTGCGCATGCAAGTATCGTCAGCATCGCCTCGCCCATGTCTTGTATGTCGCTTGAGGCGACGAAAATAGGCCGACGAAAAGCAAGGAGCACAAATGCAGACGCCGTCTTTAACCTACAATCGGCCAACTGTTGCCTTCATTTTAACGACAAGACGAAAGATGCCCCAGTGATGGCTGGCAGATTCAAACCTGCATGGTTTCGCTCAAGTGTAAACATGTGCGTATACGCACATACACAAAAACACACTCTCTCTCTCACTTACTCACGTGAATTGAATAACAATTTAACAACATAATATGAACCAAACCCTTCGAAGCATTTGAGTGCACTGGCATGGCCGCTAACCTTCTTTTTGATGGGGCAGCCTTGGTACTGGGTTGATGTAGCGTCGCGCGAGCACGTCTTTTATTTTGTTCTTGGCATTTTATGCGTCTCGGGAAAATAATTACAGTAAGTTAGGTCAGCTATACCAGCACATACATTGCATGAGTTATTAACGGACGAACAAACGAACCAGCGAGCGAGCGATCTCACGCGAGACAGCCAGCCCACTAGTGACACATCACTCCAAAGACTTTCAGGCATTCCGTGCGCCAGCTGTGCACCGTGTTACATCACTGCTCTTCACACTTGCACAGAACTGCTCACTGTAATCCATGCAAAACTGCTTAACCTCGGTCATTGTGGCTTACGCTACAAAAACAGCCAGGCACAAGATAACCTTAGGATGCTGGGGCTATTTGCTAAATTTCACCCTTTCCAACTACAATAAAAGAGTTACCTAAATAAAGTGCACCTTGATGATGATTAGCTGAACATATGATTTCTACTAATATAGAAAAGTTGGAACATCCTAGAGCACATGTTTTTTCTAAAACTTTTCATCAGAATTCCGTGGAACACCTTGTACATGTGATCACGTGAAATAACCCCACAAGTTGGTTCACGCTCTTTCCGGTCTTGCTTTTACCATATTTGTGATACTGTCTAAATTATGGTAAAATGAGCTCCCACGTAAACTTTGCATAAAGAAATTCTTCGTTTTTGCCAACAGTCGATTTCTAAATGCGATGTAATTGCACAAACACACAGATTAGCAAGTAACAGCACAATCGGGCTCAGCATCGTGCTTAGTGGGAGGGCTGCAGGGAAGGTTATGTATATTCGCAAATGATAGGGGGATTATGGTGGCAACCAAATAAGAGCGACACCTCTGAGCTTGTGTCCATGTGTAATTCTACGAATGTCTTTTCTTATACTCTGTTTTATACATCAAGTGCAATGCTGTGAAGGCTAGTGAGACTTCTTGCAGTGAATGTGTTTGCACTAAAAAATAGTGTGACGATTTTAGCATCTGAGACATGTTATGTTTTTCTCTTTGGGCTTCGTGCATTGGAGATAAAAACATTTCGTTATACGGCTTTTTTTTGTTCTAGTTTCTTGATGTTTTATTTGTAGGCTTTTGCGACGCTGTGCAGGAGCGTTCGTGTTCGTCTCGCACGAGTGTTTACAACAATGAAAACCAAGCGCGAGAAGCACTAGTTCACACATATTTCTGATGGAACTTCCTGCATAGCTTGCACGGTGTTGTATCTGATGTATGAAATGGAGTATGTGCCAGCATGATTATTGATTGATTGATATGTGCGGTTTTACGTCCCAAAACCACTATATGATTATGAGAGAGGCCGTAGCGGAGGGCTCAGAAAATTTCGACCACCTGGGGTTCTTTAACGTGCACCCAAATCTGAGTACACGGACCTACAACATTTCCGCCTTTATCCGAAATGCAGCCGCTGCAGCCGGGATTCAATCCAGCGACCTGCGGGTCAGCAGCCGAGAGTACCTTAGCCACTAGACCACCACGGGGGGGCTAGCATGATCATGCTGGCACACGAGGGGACAGGGTGGGCGACCGCGCCCCCCAAGTTTTCTTATAGTAGGTGCGCGAAGTCTCTCTTGTACTATAGTGCCTAAAATATTCGAGGCCCTGTACCCATACAATTAATTGATAGGGAGGGGGTCGCTGTGATTAACTATTGAACCCCCCTTCTTGATTGGGAACCCTCCGCGCGTGTATGTCCACCAGACGACACCGGTGATGCTAAGGTAATCAATGAGAGTTACGTAACACCTTCTGGTCACTCAAAGGTGCTTATAAAGTAAGATATATGTTGCAAACAAGCAGTAGCTGCATAAGATATAGCTATTTGCTAAATTTTCTTATTGTATAGGTTATCCAATTTGTGTAGCGTAAATTGTGCACGTATTTTATCTTTTACATGCTAGCCTAGGTTTATTTCTTCTCTGCTAGATCATTTGCCATCCAGTGCAACAATAAAAAATATTTCTATAGGTGATTTTCAAATGTACTATAAACACTCGAAAAAAAAAGCCAAGTTGGTGTGTTATAGTTATGCGAGTGTAATTGTTACGTACGTAGATACATGTGTCAACGAGAATACAATCTACTGAATATCACGTGTTGCAATATTTGTGTCTTCTTTCTTCCTTCAGTGCCATATGATTTTAACGTGAATTAGGGCTTTGTTGCAGAGCTTGCAAAAACTGTGTGACCTTTCGGGAGGAGGCGGATCAGTATATATATGAGCGCTCTTGAAGAGGAGGTTCCATTAGTAATGGTTCTCTTGATTTTTTTTTCCTGCACGATCATGCTGGCATTTCAAAAAAAAATCTGAACACTAAAGGTTTCTGGGAGCGAAACAGTTACAGAATACAGTTTTGTTTTATGCTTGCGCTATATCAACAGGAATGCCCGTATTTGTTTTGCAAAGTTGTCGTTTCCTTTTATTTTGACTTACAGGCATCGTAAACAAGTTTGCCATTGAGGTTGCCACAAAAGTTCTTTAACAAAATGTTTGTCAGTACTACAGCATATGTATCAGCACTATTTCATTCATGTGACCATTCTCACGGGCGTTAAAGTCAGGTTGTTCTTCATTGACCAGCTCTTGCTCCACCTGCTTCATTCTTTGTTATGAGCAGGTGTTATTCGGGCATTAGTAGCAGTTCTGGCTTCGCAGCAAGCTGCTTTTCGATGAAGTAGCTGCGAGCAACAGCGTTATTACTAGGTAGAGGGGTCCTCCTCGGTCAAACTGCTTCCCGACATCATAGCGCTCATGAGAGGCAGAGACAGTAATCTCATTATCAGTAGTGAGGGCGGTTCTGCATTTGGGACAGTGTAACTACTCTAGCATCCCCTATTTTGCATATCCTACCACATTGATCAGAAGAACGTCCTGCATCTTTGACAAAGTCTCGCTTCTGCCACATTGTTGTCAACTAGGATGTAATTACCCGCTTGTGTACCCCTCACCAGTACTGGTAGTGGAAGTTGTCGGCAAAGTGCTATACAGGCTTGCTCTGAAATTTTCGGCAATCGCAGGCTTTGAGAATGTTCATAATTGTGTCTCCTTTGAAGCAGCTCCTTTGAAGCGCTGGTTCTGCGGACGCGCAATGAACGAGCAATCTTCCGGCATACTGTAACCATTTGCTGCTTGAATAAACCGCCCCACCTGTTGACATGGTTGGAGTAGAAATGGTATATAACTAAGCCCTCCACCTTTTACAGTTAGTGTTTGCTACGCGTGGCTACTATACTTACCTAGTGAGGCTAAACATGAAGCCTGGAGAAATAATCGATGCCTGCTCTACCTGCTTTTTTTATGTCTAGCTGTGTCACATTTGGCGAATTTTCGAACTCGCATAAAACAACTTGACTTTTTACAGCAAAAGCTGTTATGAGATCAAAACTAGGGTCAAGCGCTGCTGTAGTTGTCTGCCGCCGCTGGTGTCCGTAACCACAACGCAGGAAATAAGGAAAAAAAAACCTAGTATCAATGACACAGTGGGGCTCGAACCCGGGTCCACTGAGTGACAGCCCAGTATTCTATCCACTAAGACAAGCCAGTGCTTTTTGTCAAACTTGCCTTAGCAAATAGCATATTGAGTGGGTCGTTCAATGCTCCAACTCATTACAGAAGCTTGTTCTTGTTCACCTATGAACTGTGGCACATACCCACTTCAGGCACAATTCCTCATCGTCATCAGCCACTGCATGAACAATTGGCACAATATTTCTTGCAAGTGTTTAGTGGATACTACCCTTCTCAGAAGAATGACGAAAAATAGCAGTAGCGAATGCAAGCATACTATTGATAAAATCAAGCTCTTTGGTGAGTAACCCTATTGCGGTACTAATTTCGTGATGCCTCTTTATGTATTGCAGTTCGAGAACAAAGTCAAGAATGACTTGGCTAAGTTCCCAGAAATCCAGCGGCTGCAAATTGACATTCGCCATTTATACCTTGGTCAGTGACTTTTCCCACATTTGTTTGTTGTCTTATAATCATCTTCTTCACTTTATAGTAGTAGATAAGCTCAGACTCGACATTAGAGCTGATCTAAATAATGACGTGTTTGAAAATTCAAAGCAGGCTTTCTTCCCATTTTCTTTCATTGAAAAAAAAAAAAACGGAAGCAATTCACTACTGTAAAAGATTTATTTGAATCACTTTGCAAAATGGTTCTAATACAAAAATATTTTGTTTACCAAGCCTGGAAAACTTAACATGCAATAACATTTTCATACGTTAGAAACAGGCATTTTGACCTGATGTTTCGCAGCCAGCTGGGGTCAGTGATGCGTGAGGCTTGTTTCTATTTACATCAGTATGAAATCCTTGTGCGAGATGCATGCACTGCTTCACCATATGAAATTACGATATATAAAACAAACTTTTTCAACCCTACAGATTCTTAAGATGTTCTGAAGGTTGGTGGTGGCTAGCATTTGCACGTTTCAGAGACCTTACAAAGAAAAAAAATTACACTATCTCCCACTAAAGGGAGCTATGATTAGCATGCGAAAAAGCGCATGGATCGACTTGAAGTTCCGTTGATCATGGACGTCTTTCCCAATGTTAACGCGTCCTTGCAAGCGGAGTACACCTTGAATTCATTGTAGTTTCTGTTGCTGTTAATCATACCGATTTCTTGCTGGAGCATGTCACGCAGGTTCATTGCTATGGCACACAGAAGCAACTGGGTTCATTGCGCATCTACGAAATTTAGTTCTCCAATGCCATCACTTCATTCCTGAGAGAGTGTAAGGAGCAGAGGCCACAGCTTCTTACACAGCCACTTACGCAAGTTCGAACGCACTAGTGCGTGCCAGAGCGTTCTGCCTAAGACACAAGGCGTTAGTCAATAGACCTCTTCCTGTTTGGAAACAGTGTGACGTCACTGCGAGCACCGCACCTACCATTCATTTCCTCGGCACAGGTGCTGGTTCGCAAGAAAGTTCCGCTGGTGGGATTTTTATGCATAGCAGGGCGGCGTGTGCCTGCAATTCTTCGGCAGAAATTTTGGCAAATTGTTGTTTTCCTAAATCTGCTAATGAAAGGGTCACTGCCTATAATGGAAGATTTTGTTAGGTTAACAAGCGGCGATTTCCTCGTCGTAATGACAACCATTAAAAAAAATATTTACCTTTTCAAAAGCAATCGTTCTGCATGTTGACAGTGACGGATGCTTTGAGAAATATTGGCATGGTATGGACGTAAACATACTCAATTTTCATTCGCGACATGTGCACTGCAGTTTTCAACGAGGCACAACATTTGCGGCAGCATGGTTTTGAGCTGCTGTGCGAGAGGTGACAGACAAGGTTTTCACTCCCATCACTAAATTTCTATCAAAGAATAATGAAAAAAAATACAAACAAAAAACACTTTTTGTCGTGCGTTAGGATGAGGTTAACAAATCTTCGTTAAAATTAAAGCGAAGTTGTCGGCGACGTTCCTCATTGCCCACTGAAAACTTATGCGATTTTAAACTCGATAACTTAATTATATACGTGAACTTTTGCACAGTTGCATCGCTGCATGTGACGCCTACAACGTATCTGCATAGTTACAATGCTCTTTCAATGCCTAACACACAAACTTGTTGTGTGAATCGACACTTCCTAAATATCAAGCCGCAAAGGTATGAAGTATATATGAAACAGGGATCTCTGCTCTTTACTTGAAGACATATGAGGCCTTTGATAAAACGAGTTATACCTTTGTTGCGTATTCAAGACCCAAGCAACTACATCAAGAACGTCCATGTTTATTTCTACTGCTCACGCCTAACTCTTCTTCCTTCTCCTCGCTTCTCCTGCTTGTTGTCGCGCGGTCCGCAATCATTCGCAACAACCTTAATTGGGTTTGTGTACTTGCCAGGATGTCAGGGATATCGGAAATGAGTATTAGTGGAGATAGATTGTCAGGACACTGGTCGGCACAGTAAACATGGTTTATTAAGAAACAAGGAGAAAAAATAAAAAAGAAAATACTGAATAATTACAGTGAAAACAATGCTGAGAATATCTCTAAAAGTAAACTCATCAGTTTCAGCTTCACCTAACTACGATCTGGCCACCTAGGCCTCGTCGTCTGATCGTAGCCCTAGTGGAAGCATCTTACTTGGCTCTGTCGATTGTTATGTCAAAACTGCTTTGTCTGACACCATTGCAGACAATCCTGCTGAAATCATGACTCCATTGCATCACGGTCATGCTGCACTGCCATAAGTTTGTCCCAGGTCGCGGTTGGTGACTTGGAACCTTGTCGCCGTTTTTTAGTCCTGGGATGAGACCGGCACTCTCCAAGTCATGTCCTAGAGAGAGATTACTGCAGACCGACGTTTAAAGAGGGACTGCAGCAGGTGCATTCGAACCAGCCGAAAGATGCTGTAGAAACTCTGAGGAGCCTCGCCCAAGCGTCGCTGAGGTCAACGGCCACGCCACAGAGTGCCAGCGTTGCGACCTCCAAAGTCGAACATCTGCTGCGCCCGTTGGTAGAACATAGCTACCAATGCGACTGTCTTGTTCTCTAGCCAGGCAAGCAATATCAGCTCATCGTGCATTCTTCTTGCATTAGGCTTGTCTTATGCGCTTAGAGCCATGTGCTGCGCCCTGCACACTCTCGTGCCTGTTCTGCGAGCTTTTCCTCCCACTTTGTTGTCTTCGTCTTCTCGTTACTCATGACATGCTTCAAGAGGTTATGAAAAGGAAAAGTGCCACCCGTAGCTGTCTATTCTTTAGGTGACACCTCAACAGGTCGGCACAGAGATGGAGTAAAGGGAATAAGGATGAGAAGGAAAGGTACGAGAAGGTAACAAAAACTAGAAAAGTAGGACTCATTCGAGCCACTTCCCTAATGTGCGCCCGAACTGTCGCAACATGCAACCATCCAGAAAAGATACCGAGAAGGCCGGCGAACTTTCGCCGAAGAATGAGCTAGATCAGCCTAAATGGCGCATTATAAGATGAGAGTGTGCGAAGCACTCGTCTAAGTGCCAGGCATGAAAAAAATGAGAGTTCAGATGAGCTCACAGGTGGGAGTCCAGATGGCCTCGATGTGGTGATCCAGCCGTCTAACTCGCCAGGACGATGGCCTCATGCACTGCGAGAGCCGCGGCACATAATCCACGCACCAGAGAGTCAACCGGCAGAAGCACAAGCACTGCAGGAATTGCCACTGCAAGTGTGGCAATCACTGCGTCCTTCGGGTCGAGCTCGGGGGCGGCATATCCAAAGGAGGGGCTGATGCAGTCGTCGTGCTCAAAGAGAGGGGTGGCATACTCATAGCCTGGCGAGGGGCAGTTGCCGACGACTATCAGTCGCCACCAGCAACAGCGTCCCGAAGAGAGCGACCCTTCACGAATGCCGTGCTGCTTTACTTGTCAATTGTTTTAACAGCGGTCCTGTAGTGCTCCAACATTTTTTGGTGCGTCACGGGCCCATTCGAAGAGGCAATGACGACAGTGGCTTTGCACTGAATCTGCCAGGAAGGGCAGCGCGGCTCGTCCGCTGGGTGGTTTCTGCTGCGATTGAGGCAGCGTGAGAATGGCGTGGAGCAGGGCCCGTTATGGTGGCTGCCACTGCACATAGGCATCGTTGGTCGTGCCAGCAGGTCACTGTGGCATGGCCGAAGGGACCACAGCGGGCGCACTGAAAGGGGTCACGGTTGACGAGGTAGGACTGGCCTGTTGAGTTTGATGATGGACATCTTCGGTGGAACCATGGTGCCCTGAAACGTGACCGCAAGGCACCTGCCTCTGTTTACACAGGAGACGACAAGAACGGCAGAAACTAGGTTGGTCGCGATGTCGTCCGTGTTGAGGTTCGCATCGACGTCCCCGATGGTGCCATGCAGCTATTCTCTACGAGGAGGTTCCCCTCATGTGAATCTCGTAGAGCCGGCCCACCTGAAAAAAAAGTGCAGGTCAGCGAAGGGTTGAATGTCTACTGCAACAGTGTTGCATCAAAAACGGACACGCCGAGCGGCTGGGAACCCGGCCAGAAAGGCCGTGATGGCTTTGCGGGTAGCAGCGAAGAAGTTGGGCTTCTGGACGAAAAAGGATGCTGCCGACGCGCTCTCTTCTACTACTGCAGAAGAGGCCGGGGGCTGTGGCACGGGCACCGCTGGTGTGTTGGCGTCTGGTTCGAAGAGTGAAGGAGAGGTGGGAAAGCAGAAGCTAGAGCCTCCAGCTTCTTCCCACGTCGTATCCGAGCTGTTGGAAGTCGACGAGAGTTGGGCTCAGTGTTCCCAGGAGAAACTGTAGGCGGAGGATACTTCCGTCTCTGTGTTAGTACAAGGGCGATATCCCTCGCAGGAAGCCATGGTCGTGGCAGAGGAAGAAAAAGACCTGGTTCTCTTCCATAGCCTGGGAGAGGGTGGCAGTGTCATGGCTGCAGTTCTCCTGAGGCAGGGATTTTTTTCTTGGAGTGTGCAGGCTTCGGCTGCTGCGTGGGCACTAAAGACGATGCCGAGGTTGCCGTGGCGGCTTCCGGTGTACTTGCCTTTTTGTGGCAGCTTCCCGAAGGGTGCATATGTAGCCCTTAGAAGGGCTGCTTGCAAAAGAGCGTGAAGCAACATTAAGCGAAAGAACGGGAGTGCAAAAACATGTGCGCTTCATGTTTCAAATCTCACTCAGCTCTCCTTCATGACACGCGGCGAAGCATATATGCAGCTTTGGCAATGGTTTCTGTCAGCCCGGTGATCATGCATTTTTTTTTCTGCACGCAGCGCAAACGCTGAAATATACCCACTCGCAGATGTTTGCCTAATGCATATTTAACTTGACTGAAATTCATATTTACCTAGACTACTTTGTTTATCATTAATTGATATGCGAGGTTTAACGTCCCAAAACCACAATATGATAAGGAGAGACTCCATAGTGGAGGGCTCTGAAAATTTTGACCACCTGGTGTTCTTTCAACGTTCACCCAAATCTGAGCGCTTAGGCCTACAGCATT